CGAAAAGCACAAAGCCGACTTTACTCCTTTAGCTATCCAGGTAATGACAATCCATGGCAATGCTGTGTATATTGTGTTTATTTGGAGGGTCAGACAGAGACACTTCTCTGCATATTTGAACACAAACTTACCTGACGTACTCCACAAAAAGTGGTGTTACCTCTCGCGTGATCTTACCTCTCACGTGATCTTACCTCTCGTGTGATCTCGTTGTTGTCCTTCCGTACTTTGGGGTCGAGGCGGGACAGCTTGCCGAAGTACAGGTCCTGCCAGAAGGCCGTCCAGCGCACCCGGTACCCCATGTAGGCCGGACTCTCCTCCGTCCATCCGTTCAGGTCAATGTAACGCTGCAGGGTTAGTGTAAAATCAAAGCAGTTTGTTTATTTCCGGGACAGAAGTATTGTTTCGGATGGCGCTGTTTTTAGTTGGTATGTTTGGGTTCCAGACATTGCATCATGCCGGACTCTCCTCCGTCCATCCGTTCAAGTCAATGTACCGCTGCAGGGTTAGTGTAAAATCAGAGCAATTTCTTTACTTCCGGGACAGAAATATTGTTTTGGATGTCGCTGTTTTAGAAGAAGTTGGTACGTTTGGGTTCCAGACGTTGCATTCCGGACTCTCCTCCGTCCATCCATTTAGATCAATATAACGATGTAGAAAAGTCAGTTCAGAGTTACTAGTACCCTAAAATCAGAGCTATTTCTTTACTTCCGGGACGGAAGTATTGTTTTGGGTGGCGCTGGTTCAGGTGGAGTTTGTATGTTGGGATTCCAGACATTATGACATTAGGTCTAGGAGTATCATACAATCCCCTCCATAGCTCCAAATTCCAATACATTCACGGAAGCCCAAAACACTTGTAAGAAATCTCTTGATTTTTTTTTCTTCTTGATAGGTTTTTCAAAGAATGTGAGGTGTTCGCTTCGACATTTTTTTAGATTTTCTACTTACGTTTAGAGCAGCTTGAAAGTCATCTTCGAAGCGAATGACTCCATCTTTGTTCACATCTGCGGATACAAACAAATAATGTCATGAGCGTTCTGATAATAATGATAATATCCACCTCACAATCACATAGTACGCCAAAGCCACTGCAGTTTGTGTCAAATCCGCTAGGATCTCTTCTCGCCCTGTTGATCATTAATCTACTGTGTATTTTCCTAACATTGACCGTGTCTCTGTTGCTACATTGGACGGACCTATCCACTTTCACAACAGCAGACTTAAATAGGACTTCATGTTCCATTTTTAGCACTGCCCTCATTTTCTGAGCTGTCACATGAAAACAAGGGACAGTAACTGACGCACTTGAACTATTATCACGGACAAGGACAACATAGCATGAATATATATGTTGATATGATGCCAACGGGCTTGCTTTGCTAAATTTCATGTTTTATTTGGCCATATCCGAAGGAATGCAAGGACAGTATACGTATAGAAGGCTATGCATATTGTGTTATGCACGTTGCACAATGTCAATGTAACAGTTATACATACGACATTAGAGATTTCGTTGATCCCACAGCAAATAAATTTATCTTCCACAGAAACTTGGAGCTTTTTGATGTACGTGTTCTTTTTTTTTGGAGGGGGAGGGGGGTCTTTTTTTACCGATTTTGCCAGCCGTATAGTGCCGGAACAGCTAGTACTTTTTCTTATCAACATTAAGAATAAAAACACTATTTACGAAAAAAATTGAAATTAGTTCCCACAAAAAGGCCCTTGCAATAAGGTACATGTACATATTTCTTTCAACCATAACGTATCGTCGATGATTTTGTGAGTACATTTGTAAAGTTTACCAGATACCCTGCAATGCATTGTCAACGTCAACTGTAGAGCTAGGAGGATCATGATCAAGAATACAAAACATGTCAACATTTAACAGAAATGTCCCAACAAATCTTTGCAAAACAATGTCCGCACCAGAAAAAAACACATACTAGTACCCCCTACCGTAGAATTCGAAACAGTTCATCAATTTCTGTTTCTGAAAATCGGTGAGTTTGAGGGCGGTTGCGTAGTTTCTCCGTCCGTCCAGTGGTTTGTGGTGGTAAGATGGCAGCTGAGGTGCGTTCACCGTAACGCCCGCGGTGGTTCTGCAGCCACACACCGCCAGCCTTCCCGCCTGGCCCCGCAAGACGCTACCGACAACAAACGACATCGCAACGGTCTTACATGTACGTGTACTACGTCTCAGTGGATGGCTTGCGCGCCTCAGAGGGTCAATCTGCAGAATTTTAAACTCTCAAGTTCAGACAGTCTGACCGAATATGTTTACAACCATTACAAGGTGACCTTGATAATGGGAGGGGGGCTGCAGGGGTGTTCTGTCCAAAAATGGCGGCGAGGCCATCCTTTTTACAGATCTAGCCCTTAACAGACAAGGTGAACGCCATTAGAATACCAGTACTAGGAACACAGGCGATTTTGTCCACCTGGAAAACATCCAAATATGCAATGCGCGCAGTTGTCATTATTGTAATTTTATGTTGCAAAGCGTCACTTCACTTTTACTTAGGCGAACATTGTGCTGTGAGCTAGTATTGATAATGATATCTTAATTAATTATAACGAAGTAGCTCAATTACTTGAGGCGCACAGTAGCAAATATTGCATACAAACTTAGTTTCATTCTTTTTTTGCCCATCTCGCGGTTATTTTTTTGATGCTCTTATCTTTATGTGTGAGTGTATTTTATGCTCTGTAGAAGATTTGATGCTGAAACGGGATTCGTAATCATACGAACTACAACACCATAGTCAAGCGACACCTCGCCTGAAGTTCTGGTACTGCAGGTGTAGCACTTATTTTGCCTACACCTGAAGGGTTATGTTTTTGGTAGCGTTAAACGTTTGTTTGTTTGGATGGATGTTTCTTATTCTTATGTATGTATGTATGTATGTATGCATGCATGTATGTATGTATGTATGTATGCGTGTTTTAATTTGGTTTAGCACGGACATTCAAGGGCTATATGGTGGACTTTCATGATATTTGGCATCATTTGTATAATAGATGAGAAAATGCTAAAACAGTCTTCTTTAGTAAGGATAAGAATTTCAAATCTTGGACAACTTGCGATATTTGGGGAAAATATCATCTAGTGATGTGATTTATGCTAATGAGGACCAATTATTTATATAATCAATAAAAAACCTTATAGTTTACAATATGTCATTCTTAAATGTTGACATTATTATTTTTACAAAGGTATGAACTCGTGAAACTCGTCTTGATCATTTTTTATTTTATTTTAAATCATTCTTACAAAATTCAGACGTCCAGTACGATAAAATACTCTGAATGTTCCCCGTATTTCGCATAGTAGTAGCATTATGATAATTATTTTAGGCCACAGCAAGTAAATTATATGGATGACATCCTTCGCAGACTTCAAATCTAATCCGATAGGGCGAAAAAAACAAGATTCCTACATTTCAAACCTTGTTGAATAAAAATTGAGGGAACTTAACCTGATATCACAACCAACAGGTCCTGTATTCAACAGTATTACCTGTGCATGTAGATGTCTTCACATCTCAATCATCTAGAACATTTGTACAAAAGAGTTTGTCGTACCAACAAAGGCAGCTGGGTACTCATATGGGTACTCATATGGGATGAAAACCGTTATACTGTCAACTTGTGTCAAGTGTCAACACTTGCCATCATACGTGAGAAATTGTGCCCGAAGTTTTCTGGATCCCTTACTGTCTCTGAACCGATACACGTTTATGACATATTTGCCTATTTTTGGCATGTTGACCACCGTCAAAAATCAGGCGAAAATCAATGCGATGATGTTATCCATAAAATGACTTGCTGTGGCCTTAGTCCAAACACAATGAATGGATGAATTGATTTTATTATTGTGTCTTGCGACATTGTCACCCAGCCCATATGGGCTTATAAGACACATGATTGAAACAGGTCAAATCAAAGATCATATACTAAAATTAGCTCATATATACGCAAAAAAGTACAAACGTATATGGAAATTTACATGTAAGTTTCAGCAAGGATAACTGTTGACAGGAAAAGATAGGGGTGACAGAAATTGAAAACCATCTATATACATGGTTTTAGACACTTGGTGTCCTATCCTTGCGATATATGGTCCAATATAATTTCTTAAGGTTCAAGCGGATGTGGATGATCTTTGGAGTCTTTGGAGACTCTTTAAACTGTACACAAAAACAAATCTTGAAGTTATTTACATGAATTACACCCGATGGGTAACTGTGCTGGAGGTATTCCAATATCTGTATCTGTATAGGTATAGGTATAGCCGGTATAACCGCCCTTCGGCGTAACACACCAGCTTCGCAGGCACGCGGCGCGGCGCGAGCTGGCTACATTACACCGATCGACTTGTTACACCTAACTCTTGAACATCTAACTCTAAACATTGTTTAAAGCTATCTAATGATAATGCCCCTAGTTCCCTACTGTATTTGATGATGACAGCCAGTTTTAGGAGAGAATACATTCTTGAACACCTCAATCCTTGGTTGGTAACTCTGATACTTGAAGGCTTGACTATTTCTCGACTTCTCCAAACTGGTATTAGGTACTTAGCAGTTGGGACTTCCACCAGTGTATTAGTCATTTTGTACATCATGCATCTGGATATTTTTCACCTATACCTGTCTTGCATAGTCTGGATACTTTTCGCCTATACCTATCATGCATAGTCTGGACATTATTTCGCCTATATCTATCATGCATAGTCTGGACATTTTTCGTCTATGGGTACCTATCATACATAGTCTGGACATTATTTCGCCTATATCTATCATACATAGTCTGGACATTATTTCGCCTATACCTATCATGCATAGTCTGGACATTATTTCGCCTATACCTATCATGCATAGTCTGGACATTATTTCGCCTATACCTATCATACATAGTCTGGACATTATTTCGCCTATATCTATCATGCATAGTCTGGACATTTTTCGTCTATAGGTATCTTTCATGCATAGTCTGAACATTTTTCGTCTGTTCCTATGATCCGGAGACTAACTATCACCAGGCGGTTTAGCGAGCGTAGAGTTGGAAGGCTGAAGATTGTGTCTCTTCACATAATCTTCAAGGAACGCGAGAGTTGCCAGAGCTCCTTGCTGAAATATGACAAGACAGGAAATTTGACAAGAGAATATGACTTTTCCCGATTAACGTTGAACTAGCTAAAAAAACAAAATGACAAATAGACTTTACACCTCTCAGTACTTCTATAAGATCAACTAGAAAGGTCACATAATAATATTTTCCTTCACATGATCAAGGCTAACAAACTAGTGCTCTGTTTATTCTTACTCAAGCAAGCTACCGCGTGATTGTTTCCCATATGGGTATAACCATAAACTTTTCAAGTCTAAGGTCAACAAACATCTGTCCTCACTAGTGCTGACTTTACAGTAACCCAAAACATTTTGACTGGCTCTCATGAGCCTTGTTTTGTGGTGAATCATGAAGTAAACAATAAAAAAATTATATGAATGGTGAGCAGCCTCTCCAACTGTGTTCTGCTACAAAATGTCACCAGTTACCATAATAACAGATATCTTGTCCAAGTCATTGACTTCACTTGTTTGGAATGGAAGAAGAAGAAGAAGACGAAATTGAGCAAAAGCAATATGTTTCCTCCTGCGAAGGTAAACAATACTTAACTCATAACATACCCTCATGAGGAAGGTCTGGTCCTCCGGCTCCACGTTGAAATCCATGGTGCCCACATAGTCCACGTCGATGGCGATGCATCTACCCACGTCCTCTTCCTAGAAACGAAATAAGAGAACGCTTAATCTTGTTTTTGCAAGACACATTTCGTCTTTGGACAGTCCTGGCTTTTGCTTAAGCTAGTTTTACATATTGGTGTCCGGCTGGACTGTTTGCGTGAATGACAAATGGACAAAAAAATGGACAATTCATATCAAGAATGTACACAAATAGTACTCATGATTATCCGCTACATGTCCGGTACCTTTCATCAGTGATCAAATAGAATAGATTCCACTCGTTTATTATTTGCCAAGTTATTAATGATGTTTTTCTTTTAGTTCAACGTACAAACAATACAATGTATAGTGGTGACGCACTCAAGCAATATGCTTATATTCACGTCACCACTAGACATAAAATAAACAGACAAAACAATATCACATGGGTAACGTCCAGGTAACAAGCAAAAAGAGTTAAGCTATTAAGATATTATAAATTGATACAAAACTATAAATCAATGATGTTTGGATTTCGTCTTTCCAAACCTTAATTGGCTTGCTCTGTCCCACCAGCTCCAGGTACTTAGTGTTAAGTTCAGCTGGCGTGTCGATGATTCGCTGAGGAACAACCTCCAGTAGCTTCTTCCTGAACGGCTCCCAGTTGTTGGAGACACTTTTGATGGTCTCATCTGTCACCTAAAGTAAAGAACGCCATACACCAAGATCTTTAATTTTCTTGTATAATAGCTTATACACTTTCGTTTATGAAAATCCAGTACCTTATGTAAAGAAGTCTATTATATTTCATTGTTTAACATTATATTGTAAACGCTTTTAACTGTGAAATGTACAGAAGGCATAATTCAGTCTTTGGCGGCAACGCTTTTTTTTACCAATAAACCAGTTTTGATTGATTGATTGATTGATTGATTGATTGATTGATTAACTGATTATGTTGCAGAATTTTATGGTCAGGTTATCTTTTTAATGCTATCACTATCATTATACTAGTAGTCACTGGCATCATTTTAATCGATGCCTTGGTAGCTGGTGGAAGCAAAATGTTTTGGTCGCTGGTGAAAGCAACATGTAATATTTACCGGTCCATCACTGTACTTTGCAAACAAGACGTCGAACACCACTTCGTGAGACTCTGCTCCGTCGACGAAATCTCTCAGCTCCTCTTTGGGAAATTTCTAAAAGAAAAGCAAAATATGCAAAGTAGATGTTAAAGGCGAGTTACCTTTCAATACAAATGAATTTCTATAAACGTTTGAAACGCTCGAAATGAGTTGTCTATTCAAACTTCTACAAATTATCCCAATTTCTTTGAATTTACAAAGAAAAACTATTCTTCATTTAACTACCCAAAACCCACAAATTTTGGAAAAGGTGGGACATTACATCTTCCATGGTTTAAAAAAGAGAAGTCAAACCCTTCAGACATAGTTTTAGACATAGTTTTAGACAATAACCTTGTGTAGATTTTGAAGTTATTTTGGACGGTAGAATCGGTTTTTAAACAGAGTACAAAATGTTAATTGCAAATAACAAAGATAAAAGAACATTAAAAAAATTAAAATTAAAAATTAAAAAGAAATTAAAAAATTATAAAAAAGATTAAAAATTAAAATGTTCTTTTATCTTTGTTATTTGCAATTAACATTCGGGCAGGAATTTGCAATAAACTTAATCTTGTAAAATCGCTTAGAAATTATGATTGTCAACACTTACTTCCTTGAAGCATTTCAACATGTCTTCCCTGGTTCGTGGCGCCTTCAGAACCTCGTCCAGCCTTTGCTTCTTTTCATCATTATCCTTTTGCATGGTCTCAATTTCGCGCCTCATCCTTCTGTTTCTTCTATGTTCATTCCGTTCGTACTTCCTTTAAATAAAGACTTGATTATTTATCACATTCCTTTAGTTGACATAGGAAATTCAACTCGAAACTCGTGATAAGTGAAAAAAAACTGATGATATCTCCTTCCTGCGCAAATAATTCATTTTTTTACCAAAACAAAATCATTTCATTACATAGAGAATTCATCTTTTAGTGAATAGAGACCTTCTATCTCATCAATTCCCTTGAAGGAGAATTTTGGATCTTTATCTAGTGTGTATAGTGAAATAAGGCGAAACGTGGTTTGAAACGTGGTTTCTTAAATAAAAAAAATGAAACTTTAAGTAACATTGAATAAAATCGTGTTTATACATTTTACAATTGTTATTCTTCATCCTTCTTTAATATAGAAACTTAACATTAGGGCGCCTTTACATGACGCAAACCTGATACCATTACTTAGATGAACCCACAAAGTTCACTTGATGTGTGTTTTTGACCACAGGACTTTAACAATAATAACGTGCATTTTGTTTATTGCAATATCTTTTTTTAAAGAATAATTGAAATGCCACGCACTTAGCTAGTGTAGTTCTTGGCCTTTCCTTCTCCTTCTTCAAGTCGAGTTCTCCTGCCGCCGTGAAGTCTTCGATTCGTTTGCTGAAGACATGTTGGTAAGCCTTTCTATCCGTCTGGGAGTACTTGTAAAAAGAATGCAATTTCTACTGTTACAACAAATACAACTTATCTGTTTGTAATATGAAAAAGTTGACGCCTATATATTCACTGTTTAGCACGTCTGTATTGGATCATGGATCAAAAGCTTTAACTTTAAACATGCTTGGCAAATTTGTACATCTTTGTGAAAAGTGTGGTAAGGCCACACCAATTTAATTTGTTGGTTCTCGGATTTTTTCAGAAAAAATATGAAGAGACAGGGTGAAAAAAAATAAAAATAAAAACAGGTCTAGGCATCCTATTATAGCCCCAAATGCTACAATATGAGCCATGAAGTCAACAAAAAAGGCTGGGTTAAAATTTAAAGTATAAATTTTGAACTTTTAATCAAACCACTGCATTGATAGATGGAAAAAAACTGTGGCAACTAGGAAGAAAAGGAATTTCCTCAACTGTTGGGGGCAAAATATGAGCGTTTTTTAGTTGATTCAGACCCAAAATCTTTTTTTTTTTGCAAATCAGAAAAAAATGAAGAGGCGAATCCGAGAACCAACAAATTAAATTGGTGTGACCTTATATAGCAATTTTTTTTAAACATGTACAAATTTGTTTAAAAACATGTACAAATTGCTATCTTACCACCATCAATCCAAGAGTCTTTTGCAGTTGCTGTTTCCTTTGTTCCTCAGAAACGTTTTCAGGTCGGAAACGGGCCTCGTTGGACTGCAGGTAGAAGTAGCTGGTTGTTTTCACTTCGTCTGTCTCTTCTTCCAGACGCTTCTTGAAGCTGTCCTTGTCGTCCATAGAGAGCCACCATCCTACATGAAAGAATGTAAAAAGATGATAAAACTGCTCCTGCAGTCCATTTAGAAGATTTCCAACACAGTAATCACGTTGCAATTGCCACTCAAACATTCAAAGTATGAAATTAAGAAAGACATATTACACGAGAAGACAATAACTAAAGCAACGGGAAATATTTCAAAAACTGTCAGACGTTTCAATTAGCATCCACTGCTTTTCGTCAGTGACTAACGAAAACTGCAGAACTAATGAACTAAAAAATTAAACTATGAAATAATGATAATAAAGAACTGAAAACTATGTAATAATAATAATAATAAAGAATATCCAGGTCCTTGTCAATGAGTAACTGTTTTTGCTGTACACGTACACTGTAAAGAATTCAAATCAAAGTTTCCACGGTCAAAGTTAGCTACATGAAACTTATTGGTCTAGTGTTTAGTAGAATATGATGTATCTGTGTGCAATAATAATAAAGAATGAGTTCTTAACAGGAACTATTTGAAGACCTTACCATCAAAGCAGTAGATGGGGAAGTTGGCACACACACCACCGTCTATGTACATGTCTGGCTCTTTTTCAAACTTATAGGGAATGAACACCACTGGAAAATAATAGATAAGTATATATATATATATATGTATTTATAAGTACATATTTGTATGTGATGATCAGAACAGATAGACACTCAATACGGGTAGGTCGCTTACCGACTGCATTGAGAAAAAATGCGTTGTGCACTCGACGTTCTTACCATACAATACCAAACATTTTTATGTTTACCGAAGGAAATCATATTGTTTTTCCTCAATATCTTCCTCTTCTTCTCCAAACAAGTAAGGTCAATGCAATGACCTGAACCAGACGTCTCTCACCATGGTAACTGGTGTTAGCTTACATAATGTTGCAAGTGCCATGCAAAACTGAGTTCAAGAGGGGCTGCATGGTCACCGTATATATGAATGCGTTTGAATAAGAATAAATAAAGCTTGTTAAGCTGGGCCATGTGAAGGTACACATAATGCATTTGCTTTGCAAATGTTACCTTTCTACATGTAGATGCAATTAAGTTGATTCGTATTACATATACCAGAGCATGGTTTCATAAATACGGGTGATCATTTAACCTCTAATCTTATCAAAAAGCAGTCCAGTTAAGCTAACACATTCAAATAAGAATATACTGTTTCAAGAGGGTTTACCAGGTAAGGACATGGACTGTCTGACAGCCTGACGAACAGTGCAGAAAGGCGTGGTCTTGGCATGACAGTACATATCGATGCCGAATGTCAGGTTGTAAGTGACGGTACATAGTTCTTTGCCGAATATGTTACGGAGCTGCATAACATTGGTGAAAGCAAATGGAAAAGATTATCACAGACACATGACACATAGGTGATATCAATGTCCTTACTTTGTTACTTTGAGCAACATATAGTTATTTTTAGTTATAGCAAGACATGCAGTGCCCTTGTATAACTGTCCTGTTTTGTGCCCTGCTTCTGATCATGCAGTGACAAACCTCATCTAACAGCCAGATCCATGGTTTTAATTTTAAGTGTATATCCTTGCCCCCAGACACCATCCACATCCGTGACTACACAAGATTAGTGTTGTGTACCGGTTTGCTGGAACTTGTTTCGGACTTGTAAAATGTTTAGGATCAAGTCCCAAAAACCTAAACGCCTGGAACTAGTGGTTTAAACCACCTAAAATCTTCAACAATCAAAAATTTGCGCTGCAAAATTAAGAAAACGTTGCCACTGGTCATCGTCAAGTGTCGGCCTCCGTAAATTATGTGGCCACAGTTTTGCCCAGACGTGCCCCGCAAGAAACTAAACTTTGACTTAGACCTGAACGTGGTTTTAGGTACAAAGCACTATACATGATACACACACCTGATGTAGGTTGATGTTCTCGTCCAGGCCTTTAGCTCCATGGTGCTTCTGAAGATGTCGGTGGATGACCTTGCCGTACCAGCTGAGAAATCTGTCGCCCGGGTACACACCATAGTCCTTTAAGAATTGCCTACCAAAGAAAATATACCGCAGTGGTCCACGTGACCACCATGGGGAGTCTGGAAAGAAATCGACAAAGGATTTAAAAGGGATAAATCATATTGTTTAGTTAAAAAATCTTTTTGATCTCGTCACTACTATTTGTCAATGCAGCTACGGTCCTTGCATGTCCCGGGAATTTATCACAATTAAAACTATTTATAAATTAAAAAAAACTATCTTTACTTCATTACTAGAGTCCAATACATACCAATAATAAGACAATTACATTGAGATATTGCTCACTGTTAATCTGTTTGCTCTATTTATCTTACATGGTAAACTGGGAGAAACACAATTTGAGAAAGAAAATAAAAGTGCTACAGATGTTCAAATATAATAGGCCGCACAAATAAGTCTTATTGAATATCGGACACATATATTACAATTTCATATCTATAAACTTTGTACTGTCGCTCACTCATGTTTCTTTCTAGATTTCACAATATATAATTCTGTACCATTGTTTCTGTATTGTGAATAATAATGAGTGCGTTATGACTGTTTACACATTTATCTACTGTATTATGAAGTTTTCATCAATCTATACAAAAATTAGTTTTGGTTATTTTATTTAAATATGATTTAAGTATGCCAACATACCATTCTTTTGGTTGATTTGTATTTCATATTAGTTTTGATAAGTATTAGCTGTTCGTCAAACCCATATTACTTTGTTTGTTGATGTTTGAGGATCCGTGGAACTTTGTGTTTGTTCTTCTTTGTTTTTTTTAATAAAAAAATATCGGACACATACCCTTCAGTGTGCTCTCCATGTTGACATTTCGAATCTCCTCCACAATTTCATTTGACGTCATACCCAGCGACATTAGACCCGCTGTTACTGCGCCTGCGCTGCATCCTGCGAATCTTTTGATCTTTTTTATTATCCCAGCATCCTCTAGGACCTTCAAAAGCAAAACAAGTGTCCGTAAAATGCGTGCTCAGGTCAAATATTACGCAGACGAACGCTGAAAACACCAAAAGAAACACAATGTCCTTTTTTTTCTAATCAATACAAAATGAGCCTAACGATGATTTTCAGATACACCTCAAAGTTACTTGATTACACACATTGTGTTCCTTGTTATTGTTACCTCTATCATTTCCATTATATTGAATGAAAGACCTTTATTGTACATTTTTGCTCATTTCGAACTAAGTACAGGTCATGGTAAATAGCGATGGTAGACTAAATAATATATCTATAGTAAAACTACATACGTACAGGTTTTGCTTCTTCTCACTTCTTAAGGCAGTTGTAAATGTAAGAATTGATGGAGCTTATATGTGCTTATTCTTTTCTATCTAAAAATCTCAAACTAGGGAAATAATATTGTATACAATAGAGGCAATTACTAGTATACATAATACGTAATTGCATAGTACATAAATGTAATAAAAAATAAACAAAAGTAGAAAAGCTCCAAGAAGAGTTCAACAGGGTTCTGTTTACTGCTTCCTTCTCAAAACTTGACCTTTAATTATCGCTTACCTTCATAGCACCTATGTAGGCAAAGCCCTTGGCCCCTCCTCCTTCCAACACGAGGTTTTCAAATGGAAAATTGTAGGCTCGGTACTTTCTAGCAATCTTGCCAAGATCGTCTGGAAGTTCCGCCACGGGTTTGGCCAGGGTGACCCCCATCTCTGTGCCTCTATTTCAGTTGTGGCTTGCTAATGTAGCTTTCTAAACATAGAAAGATAATATCAAAAGTTGTCAAAAATCAAACAACACGCATACATGTATACGCATGTCTTTTCTTATTGTACATTTGACCCTCCACCCAACAATGTACCTCATACCTTCGCCAAATGATGTTAACCCTTTATAAATTTTACTCATTGGTTTTGCAAATAAGAGCCTTATTTGCATGAATTATATCAAACATCCACCCAATAACAGTCTCATGTTTAACTTAATCAAGAAGCTATTATAGCATTTACTTATAAATCATGCATAATTATATAATATAAAGGTCCTGATTCGAATAAATTATGTTAAGTGATATTCGCCTTCACTTAACTTTCAAATGCGGCAAGTATTTGAGGCAGTAATCATTCTGAAATTATAACAATTTGCCATTAATTATGCAAATTATTTACATAATCAATATCTGCCGATGCTCCTCTCGTTCTAAATTACATGTCACAAGTGTTTCATAGTCCTATCATTGAACGCAGCAGGTGTATAGAATTTCCTCATTGAGTATGCAAATTAGATCCTGAACAGGCCACTAGGGGAGTCTAAACTGATGTCACTTCTTCAAGAGCAAAAGAGCTATGTACCATTCAACTTTAACACCCCGTTCCCACCAGCGTGTTTGGCGTTCTCCTCTGGTGTTTCAGTCACAGACCAAAGCTAGTGGATACTAGCTGAAACGTCTGACCGTTTCCAAAATCATGTCCAGTTGCTTGAGTAACTGTTTTTGGCGTAACAATTGTCGGACTTTGGACCCATTCAAGTTGGTAATATTTTCGTTGACAATTCTACACAGTGGATATCGTTGACATAGTCCCCTAACTATACAACCTGAACAAGGATTTGCGTTAAACTTGTAAATAATCTCTAGCAACGTTGCTGTAGTGGATATGCTGTAGTTAAAATATACATCGAACAGTTTTACCTGAAATGCTGTGGATGATGTGCCAATATGTTGTTGTCGTCGACTAGAACTCATGAAACAGGATCACATGCGAAACTTACATACCTGTTCCGTTTCAGAGACAAAAATGTTTTTGACCCCAAGGTTCGTTGGACCCCTTAAGAAATGGCGGGCGATTCAACTGACAACAATGACGGGCGATCTGGCGATAAACAGAAGCGAAAGCTGGAACCACAGTCTTTCATGAATTCATGTCATGTGAACATGGTGCCATATTACCATGGTTGCATACTGACGCAATTCACGCGCACACGGAGCCCTGGACTATTCTGGGAGAGGGACCAGTAAATAAACCGTTGACGGTGAAGTTTTTAAATACAAATTTAGCATGTTAAACACACTTACCTGTATTTCAAACCTCAAGTCTTAACCCTCACTGCAAATATTTGATTTGCTTGGATACAAAACCTAGGAGGCATTTTACGAGCTACAGCCAACAAGTCAACCTGTCCCAGTGGGTCAGTCCAGCTAGTGAGATAACATTTGGGGTTAATTCCAGGACAAAACATGGCAGAAGTTACGAATTTTGACCAGATTTTTAAAAAGACACATTCTTATGCTCTCCCTAGCAGAACTGGACTTTTCTTAGTAAATTTAAAGTTTCCATAGGAAAAACTTCTGTAGAAAAATAAGTAAAAAAAATGCTTACAGTGCGCATGTGCATTGGCCTGCTGGTATGTTACACCGAAGGGCGGTTATACCGGCTACACAGATACAGATACAGACATTTAGCAAACACTCTCCTTTCTGCACCACCAACACCACCGCCACATGTGTAGCCGAAAGTTTATTGTACAGTTTTAAAGGTAAGCACTCTGGATACTGTTAGCATTGGTTGGACGACCCCCCTAAAGGGGTTATGATATAGAATTAGTGGCGTCTTGGCGTAATAGTAGGGCATTTGGCACGGAACCAATGGGACCCCTGTGAGTCCTGGGTTCGATTAAACCCACATGTCCCGACGTTATACCCTTGGGAAAGGCTCTTCCTCACTTCATTCAGATGAAAATGAGTACCTACATGAAGCTCTGGTTAGGGACGTCCCTCGGATAGGACGTAAATGGAGGTCCCGTGTTTGGGGAGAGAGCCACTCCCTACTCACGATAAAAGATCGTTAACCCACCACACTTTTTGAAAGTGGGGGTAGGCCCCGTTGTGCGATGGTGCAAATTCTACAGTGACAGGGCTTAAGGTTAGCCCTTGATAACGGCCCTGCGCTAGTTTCACAGCCTTGGCTTTGTCTTCAGCCAAAACTAATAAATAACATCATAATAACAATTGTCGGACTTTGGACCCATTTACGTTCAACTTGGTAATACTACATAACCCGAAGGATTTGTGACCGCGTTAAACTTGTAAAGAATCTCTAGCAACGTTTCTGTATTGGAGTTAAAAGACTTCGAACAGTTTTACCTGAAATGCTCTACCAAGGTACGATGCCGTAGACAACAAGAGTTCCACGATAGCATACCTTCGCCAAATGATGTTAACCCTTGCGGTTGACGAATCATACAATTTTAATCATTGATTTCGCAAATCAGAGCCTCATTTGCATGGATTATATTAGTTGATCATATTCTCCATCCAATGACAGCCTTATCAAGGTGCACTGGGATATTCTGGTTTAGAGGAAGGGCCGGTAAATAAGCTAATAGAATTTAAGGTGTTACACTGTAGAGTTATGAAATACAAACACTTGAAACATATTTTCTCCAAACATCAAGTCTTTACACCCATTGCAAAGAGTTGTCAGGTTTGTTTGGATATACATTGTATATACAACATGTGGGAGGCATTTTAGGCGGTATGACTAAATACCTAAACGTTTAACCGGCCTCAACCGACCATTTTAGGAGCTACAACCAACAAGCCAACGCTGTCCCAGTGGGTCAAAGTTTAAAGTCATGACAAAGTCACGCATTTGGCCGATATTTTGCGGGTTGTAACATTCGCTAAAAAGACTGCGTTTCCACTCACCATTCCAACTGGGCATTAAGTTAGTAACTTTGGGGAAACATGTACTCCGTGTTTTCTAGTCATACTTGATGGATTGACAATGTATCCATAGCATCACACAAGCTCCTTGTCTAATGTGCACTGCACATTAATCTGAGTTTCTATTTTGTCCAGATTTGTCTTGGACGAACCTTGCCGAGCTAGAACGAACACTAACATCGAAGGTACTAATGACCTGGACACACGGAGATGGACAAAGAAAAGGGTGACCATGTCAAGGTTGTGGAACGTTTATCTTCCTATTATTATGACTTCATGTTATGAAGTCATGTTGTTTTTCCTCATGTTTCTTCTCCTCCTCCTTCTTCTTCTTCTCCTCCTTCTCCTGCCATTTCTTTAAATTGATTCAACTCCTTCATTTTTGGGGCAAATAACATGAATTTGGTATGAAGGTAGAGTATCCAAATACCCCCAGGCGTTTTTTTCTTCATTTTTTTTCGATACAGGCATTTAAAATCGTTTTATTTTGTATTTTGGGCCATTTTTTGACAAAATCTGTACATTTAGGGTCCTGGAGACCTGGTATTACACTAAAATCATCTGAAATTTGGTCTAGGTATGCTTTATATATCTACCAACAACAATTCATTATAATTTTTGGCATACTCTCCCTTAAACTTGTATAATTTAGGACTTTTTGACTGTTTTCTATGCCGAATAGTGAAGTTTACTTACCTTATAGCAATGACTCATCAGTAAGGTATGTAGAGAGCAACAGCCAATAGGCATGAAGCTTTCAAGATGGTAGGGCAGTTGTGATCTTCTTGCTGATTGGGTGCTGGACTAATTGGATTTATACATTGAACACCTGCTGGTAGGGCAGTTGTAATCTTCTTGCTGATTGGGTGCTGGACTAATTGGATTAATACTAGTACATTGAATACCTGCTCAGGCTATAGCATATTGACAGCTGAACTGCATTTAATTGTTTTTAGTACGTTTGTCACACTTTCTTGCAATGCGGGGCGTAAACTTTTTTGGATCTTGAAAATCAACAGTTTGCATCAGGCAAATATAAGTCCTTACCAATGATGTATAGGATGTTAGCTACTACATGTAGTATCCAACGGTATCCAACTGTTGTGTTTTTAGTTATACATGTACTAGTATATCACTTCATATCATATTATATAGATGAAAACAATCTGTTTCTTTGTGTTTGCCACTTCATTGAACGTATTCAACTTTGGGAACCAAACGACCTGATGACCTCTGTAATCTCCAAGCAGATACATGGTGGCATGGGTATTTTCGAGCAGATACAAAGTGGCTTGGCCTCCAAGCAGATATAGTGTGGCATGGATCCTGTCAATCTACATGTTCCAACAGCAAAAGGCATTGGAATATTCCATTGCTGCATGGGGGTAAAGACTGTTGGAACATTTCACATTTTGAACAGGGGTGACTTAAGAACAATTCATTTGTGTGGGAGGGGGATGTTTGGTATGGGGAATGTGGTGAAGCCATGCTACGTTTGCTCCTGAGCAAATGTCGGCCTTTCTAGTGTCCTGTTATGTTTTCTATTATTTGGATCCCAAACATTCTAACAAATTACTTCAAGACCTTATGCATATAGCTTACTTCTACTTTATGTAACACTATTGTTTCATTAGAGATTTAGTTCTGCTGCTCCATCGCCATCGGGAACTAAAGGTTAGTACTAAGAATTGTAAGCTTAACTTGTGTGTAAGCTATGGATCTCAGACATGTATGTCCATGCGTTTTTGCTCAAATATAAATTTTCACCCTATTTTGCCACGCTTAGAATAAATGACACGATATAATGGAAATTTTGTTTCTGCCTCTAGAAAGGAACTTTCATCATGCCGCGTACACGGTTAGTACTGTTCTATCGTGCTTATCTAACTATACAGTGTTCAATTTAGTGGGATATAACCAGAATTGTGAAATGTTCGTTAAATCATAGTGGCTGTAATCAAGTGAAATTTCAGATAATGAAATAATA